ATGCTACTGCACTGCAACCCTTTAAGCATGCTCACGATACACTGACAGGACTTCAGGCTCCAACAAGGACACACCACAAGGTCCACGCAAGGGACAGGCTGTTCAGCAGATGGTGAATTTGCCATCTGGAAGGAGGCAGCTGCTATTGTGTGTGGAAGCATGTCACATTGTTCAACCAAATCCTTTTATTTACATATTTCCTTTTTACACGTGGGAAAAGCAAATATTAGAGCTTCGTTGTTCCACTAAAGGGATTCTGCTGTTACAGTATGCTGCAGGTTTTTTTTAGGAACACAGCAGGTTAGGGAGGAGGGAATGCAGGAGAAAGTGCTGAGGGGAGTAAAAGTGGTTTTCAGCAACACAGTACAAATGTCGATGTTGGAAATAGCTGCAGAGCTCTCTATTTTGGTCTAGAAAAAAAGTTATGGTGCACAGGAAAAACAGCCATTAAGTGCCAGACATAACCCCTTCACTCAAAGCTCTTCTTAGCCATATCTTGCAGCTTCAACAAAACCCGTAAGAAGAATGCAGAACTTGTAGGAGTCACGGTCACAGCTCCCCTCCTATCAATTCAGGCACCGCCTTGGTACGTTTGACAACGACAGATTCTTGTTATCGCCGCCCGCAACTATGTGAGCTATGTTCCCGTTAGAAGCAAAAGAGAGCAAAGATTATTACCTTGAACTGGGAAGATCATTGATTTCAAATGGTACACAGAAATCTCAAGTACGTTTTCTTTTTTTGTTCTCTGTTTTCATGTAACCACCACGATAAAATATCCCGTGTTCTTGTTTCTTCTTATTCTGATAACACCAACTATACCCTCTCTCAAGCTTTCCATCTGAAGACTTGATGCTCCTAATCATTGTTTAGGTTTCATTTCAGCCTTACAGTTTCTCTCAGCCTAAAATGCATTCTCAGTTTTATCGTTTTTATCCAGACTCTGCCTTTTAACAGTTTATTCCCCATCTGTCAGATGTGTAAGGCTGCATTACTTCCTTTACGCACATTAATTGCAGAGATTAAATTAAGGTAAGCTTCACTCAGACTTCATTAAATTCATGTCCTTCTTCTGTCTTATTAGCTACTATTCAGTAGTTACCAATTTTTGACCCAATTTTGGCAGTTCTCCACATCACAAAGAACCTCCTGCCAGAAAAACCTGCAAATATGTACCACTACACTGGATGCACCTTTAAGATAATGACACAAGAGATGAAACTAACTTGAAGTGTTCTTTGTCCAGTCGGCATGAAACCAAGCATCACATACTCTTCTTGGAAAGGGAGGGAGGGGTTTTTATCCCTTTTCCATCCCTACGCATCTTTCTAAAAGGTGGCATGATGCATGCAAGCATACCGATGTCAGCCTAATGAAGAATAATTCTGATTTTCTCACTTGACTGTTCCCACCTCCATTAGAAACAGCATGTGTAAAATGGAACCATGCTGCACTTCAAGACTAGGAACCAGCCAAGTAATGTGGAAAGTCCCTACTACAGGCCCATCTGCACACCAGCTGTGACAACCTGTTAACTGTGGAACTTGCACACATCTCCAAAAGAAGCCGTTAAAACACTTTCAGCAGAGTTTACATCAACTCTGGGCTAGAGCGAAACAGATCAACCAAAAACCTCAGTACATCTTAATATAAAGAGCATGCAAAGATGGAAGATCAAGATAAGCATACAGTCAAAACCAATTACATTTAAGTAACTTCACTAAGGAAAGAAAGGTTCTAAAAGTTTCAATTGCTGTAGCAAGCAATGCTGTAAGTTTTAAAAGATGTGACAACAGCATAGTATCAAATATGGCCAAAAGATTTCATCCAATCCTACCTGATAGGTGTTTACTGAAAAGATGACTGTGCCTATCTCATTTTTGCAAAAGCCACACCAGTAAGCAGCTGAAATACAGCTAAACTGGCTGAAAAGTAGCTCTTGAGACAGCATATATTTTACTGAAGGATCGATCAGCTTAGTTAGTGAATTCTGGAACTTTTAGTTTTTTAGCAAGAAGCTTCCCATTTTTACTTGCTTCCTACTTCTGCCCTCAGGTCAAAAATAGGACTTTTTCCTGTTTGAACTAAGAGAAGCTTCTACAGCAGCAATGTCAATACTGCTACATCAATCAGCAGATACTCTGTGGCAATAATTCAGGAATTTCCAAGATGTTCATCTTGCCTGCCATTACCTTCCTCCTCCTCATCGCACCTCACCCTCTCTAATCAAGCATGGATTTTTATTTCATGCTCTGCTCTCGTCTCTTCTTGAAAGCTGGAATGCCTCTCTAGAGAGGGGCATCATGCCCCATGGATATGTAACTGCTTCTCTAACAAGAAAACCCTGACAGTTATACACTAGAAATCAAAGATAGGTACAGTGCCGGAATTAAAAGATGTCCAGTATCTTACACACGCACTAGGAACAACACTGTGGAAATATAACCAAGAGAGTGTAATGTATACACAACAAATCCAACAGCGTGACATAAAAGAGCTGTGTGTACCACTAAGAGAAGAAAAACCAAATCCTTGTTTCTGTTCATGGCTGGTCTGCAACAACGGTAGGAAATTGTCTCACGGGCCGCACTCGAGAGTGTGTACAGGCTGACAGCCTGTCACAAGTGGGGTCCCCCAAGGACTGACACTGTTCAACATCTTCATAAATGAGCTGGGTCATAGGATTCAAAGCACCCTCACCGAGTTTGTTGATGACACCAAACTGGGTGGTGAGGCGGACACGTCAGAGCGGTGAGCCATCTTACAGAGAACTGGCCAGGCTGGAAGAGTGGGCTAGTAAGGGCAGTGCGAAGTTGAACAGAGTGCAAGGTCTTGCACCGGGGTTGACGGAGCCGAAGATCCCCATCCAGGCTGGGATCCATGTGTCTGGGGAGCAGCCTTGCTGGGAGGGACCTGGTGGACAACCAGCTGAATGTGAGCCACCAGCACACTGCTGCAGCAATGGAGGCAAATTGATCCTGGGCTGCATCCGCAGGGGCATTGCTAGCAGAGAGACACGATCATCCCACTCAGTTGAGCTGTCAGACACACGTGGAGTGCTGTGTCCAGTTCTGGTCCCCACAATTCAAGAAAGACACAGACAATACTGGAGAAGATGCAAAGATGATCAACGGGCTGGAGAACCTGCTCTGCGAGGAAAGACTGAGGAGTTGGGTCTCTTCTCTCTGATGAAAAGGAGGCTCAAGGAGATATCACAACATTCCAGTAGTTAAGTATTTTTTACAGCGAGAACAATCATTCACTGGAACAACCTCTGCGGGGAAGGAAGAAAACCTCACCGGAGGTTTTCAAGATGCAACCGGACAGGGTGCTATATAACCTCAGCTATACTCCCTCTCCCACAAAAGGTTGGGCCAGATGATCTTTCAAGGTCCCTCCCAGTCGTGGCTATTTTATGGTTCTATGATTCTACATATTCAAACCCTGATGAAACTGTATACTATCGAACAAATACACACCCTAACAAGAAGAACTGATTTGATACGAAGTTGGCCTGAAAAGCAGTTGAAAATACCAAAATTTAAAGATGAAAATTACTTTTTCAGGGCCTGATCATCACAAGAATCAGACTACTAACTTACCACAACACTCACTTGGGTACACCAAGTGTCCTGGCGACCTTGATACTCTGTTCCTGAAATACGACTGGAACTTTCAAATAAATTTAGCAACACTGGATTGTATACATTAATTTGTACACATTAATAACTGTAATAAAAACAGCTTTTACAGCAAAGATACTGAGATCTGCCTACAAAGAAAATAATGAAATATTCTGTTTACCAACATAAGAATTTCTTGTGCTTTTAAGTCTTCCCTCGTAACTACTGCCGCTGATGTTATTCCCATCTATTTCAAGTAACAGTTTCCAGCAAATGGGTCCTGCAACACTGATCCTCAACTATAAACAGTACACACATACAGATTCACTTAAATTCAAAGTGACTGCTGGGGATCTTCTAGTTCAAGGTTCCCGCTCCCTTCCCCAGCCCCACCCAAGCTGGGTCAGCTACAGCACACTGCTCAGGGCCATGTTCAGTTGGGTAATGAACATCTCCAATAACGGAGACTCTACAGTCTCTCTGGGAAACCTCTGTCACTGTTTGACCACCCCAACCATAAAAAATAAGACTTTTTTTTTTCATTCAGGTAGAATTTCAAGTTCTTTAATTTGTTTCCATTGCCTCTTGCCCTGTCACTGGGCAACACTGAGGATAGTCTGGCTCCCTCATCTCCATTCCCTCCCATCAGGTATTCATGCATCTGTATAAGACCCACCCAAGCCTCCTCTTCTCCCCGCTGAACAGCCCCAGCTCTTTCAGGCGCTCCTCATCTGACCGATGATTCAGTCTCTTCATCATTCTGGTGGGCCTGCACTGGGCTCGCTTCAGTAAGTCCATGTCCCTTTTGTATTGGTCTGCCCAGCACCGAACACAGCACCACAGATGTGTCTCACCAGTGCTGAGCAGAGAAGGATCAGCTACCTTGAGCTGCAGGTAACACTACCCCCAGCGCAGCCTCAGACACTGTCAGCCTTCTTTGCCATGAGGATGCATTGCTGGCTTACATCCTTCTCTGCAGAGCTGCCTTCCAGCTGGCCAGCCCCTAGCACACCACCGGGGTTATTCCTCCCAAGTGCCACAGCCTGACATTTCCTTTCCTGGTCCGTCGAAGCCCAGTTCTCCAGCCTACACAGGTCACTCTGGATGGCAGCACACCCACGTGCTGTTTCAGCCACTCCTCTCGGTTTTGCATTGTCTGCAAACTTGCGAAGGGTGCACTCTGTACCAGCATCCAGGTCGTTAAACAAACTGTTAAACAGCACTGGTCCCTGAGTACACCCCAGGGAACACCATGAGCCACTTGTCTCCACCTAGGTGGGCTTTGCGCTGCCCATCACCACGCTCTGGGCCCAGCTGTTCCGCTGGTTTTCAATCCATCCCACTGTCCATCGATCTAACTGATACACTGCCAGCTTATCTATGAGGAGGCTATGGGATGTCAACAGCCTTACTAAAGTTGAGGTAAACTCTCCCCGAGCCAACAACCTCACTGTAGAACACTGTTAGGTTGGCTAAGCACCATTTCCCCCCTTGTAAATTTGTGCTGACTAGTCCTCAGCCCCTTCAACACAAAAGATAGCCTTGTGTTAGAACAGAGACTTTTGTCTGCTCTAGAGTGACAGAACACATATTATTCATAAAATAGAAAATACTAAAGACTGTCTGTGTTCTTTATAAAGTACATAAAACTTGCCAAGCACTGGTAATATTTATCGGTACTGACCATACTCCAGAGGGACACTGAGGAACACAGAATCGTTTCACTCCAATACTTCCATGGAGCACAAAGACAACGTTAAGATGCCGCCTTCTCCCTCCTGCTGTGCCTACCAGTTAGACAAATACCAAGAGTTTTCAGGGTTTTGTTGAAAGAGAAAGAAGGATATGTGAGAAGGATAGAAAAGCTACTATGGGAGTCCTAAGAATTCATGTCTGAATCAGCAGATGGGTTCCTACACTGAAGGAGACCCAGGGTCCCACTGGTGAAATCTGTGTTTCTTCCCATTCCCCAGCCTCCAAACATTAAGACAAGAAAAGGTAAACAAATATAGCACAGTATTATGCTTCTCAACAGGGTAGGCCAGTGGATGAAGAGCACAGATCCCACATTAAAGTCCTGGAATTCAATATAAAACACTAAATAAAAAACACATAATGTGCAGGTCAAGAGATGCTATTCACTGTTTAAACAAAATTACATCATTCGGTGTTAACTAGAAATCTTGTCTAAGCTACTGAAAAAAATCCTCCTCAAACTTCTTCCAACCTCAAATGCTGTCCAACTTCTGGTCTTCTTCATCTGAAGCTTTAATTTATACATGTACCTCACATACTCCCTTTATTTACTGCTTCACTTCCTATATATGGTTAGGTATGATTTTGCACTGCTGCTATTAACCATTTATTTAAGACAGCACTTCCAGCACCACACAGTCACACAGAACTAAACCCAGATTCATATTCAGAACTATTTTGTAAGTGACCAAAACAGTACACTGCCCATCAACTTCAGAAAAATAAGGTGAGAACAGCAATTAATAAATTCATTATCTAAAAAAGAAAAGTTGACCTGCTAACCACATTAATTGCTAAACAGAAACCTCAAACACTAAAATCGAGTTACATCACATTTGTTTTGCTTATACAGTACCTAACTGAACATGCCAATATTATTTCCCCTTATTTTTCTGTGCAACAGATTCATTCATCAGTAAGGAAAATGTCTTGCAGCCATTATTCAGAAAAAAATTTCTTTTCACGGGTAACTGAAATAAACAAATGCTGCAGAACTCCGGACTTGCCACCTTCAACACTCATGTGATGAAACTGGAACTTCATGCTACGTACGTTCAGGTAGAAAAATGTTCTGTTTTCATGCAAGCCATGTGTATTTAGTATTTCTCTATCCACGTCTCCATCTTCAGCTCTTTTTCTCACTATTATGTTTTGCCGCAACAGGCACCAAGAATACATCTGCTTTGGCTAAGATTTGTTTCAACCAGACGGTATTTTAACAGCCTATTCCATTTTGTATGGTTGACAGCTTTTGATTTCAACGGATTTCCATTTCAATCTGATAACCACTGCTCAAAAAACACTGCATGAAAATGTCAGTTTTGCTGGAATATACTGGAACTCCTTCTGCCACCACTTCTGCCACCTTAATGCAACACTAGGATCTAAAATCAACTAAGATTTTTAATCAAATACACAAATAACTGAACTATTACACATACTGCTGGTTTACAACCAAGTTAAACAGCATTCATTCATTAAATCCGAAGGCATTTCCTCACACTATTTCAGCCCCTGTCAGCAAGCTTTGCAAATGGGGTAGAGCGCACAGAAAAAAATGATCAAAACAAACACAGTCACCCACTCTAATCCCTAGCATCCTGTGCCTCCCACCTAGCATTCAGCTACAATATAAACACGCTACTGCTGGGCTTCAGAAAAATTAAAAACCACACACACGCTGCATAGACAAGCCTTCAGTCAGTTTCACTCTGGATCAAAGGTAAAAATCAACCCTACTTGGAGATTTTGAGTTGGTCAATAGCAAGAACCCGTTACATGCTAACAATCTCCTCCTACTGCTAGAAAACTGAAGAAAACACACTAGA